AGCACTTTCCCTCCAAAATTCTCTTTAGTAAAATGTAATTTTCTATTACAGTCATGAGTCTAATAAAAAGAATTACTAGAAAATAAGAATTACTAAAAAAAAAAAATATTTGGGGTCAATAGGATTTTACTTATATATATTAAATAGTACTTTTATTCAGCAAAGATGCATTAAATTGATCAAAAGTGACAGAAAAGTAACACTTAAAAAAAAATGTTGAATTAAAAAATATATATATATTATAAATTCTAAAATATATTCAAAAAGAAGAGAGCTGTTTTAAATAAAATCTCACATGTCTCTCTTTCTCTTTTTCTTTCTTTCTCTCTCTCTCTCTCTCTCTCTCTCTCTCTCTCTCTCCCCCTCCCTCCCTAGCTCCCCTAGCTCTGGTCCAGTTTTCCACAGGGTGAGCTCTGATCTGTAATTAGTTAGCTGTAGCTGGGCTGTGGTTTACTCTGCCTACTTTGAAGCCTTGAAAAGAGCTGCCCTGACAGCCAGAACAAGAGTAACATCCCGTCAAACACAAGTCCCTCTCGTAAATGTAATGGATGGAATGAAAACATCATAGAAAATATACAAATAGATAAGAAAAAGAGATAATACTTTCAAAAGGAAGTTGCTGATATAATTTATCAAGGTGTTGTGATATGGTATTTGGTGTGTTGCTATGCAGTTGCTAGGGTGTTCTGTGATATATGTGACCCTGGAGACTCAAGTCGATGGGGTACATTTGTAGCAATAGCCAAAAATACATTTTTTACATAAATTTTTCTTTTATGCCAAAAATCATTCGGATATTAAGTAAAGATCATGCTCCATGAAGATACTTTGTAAATTTCCTACCGTAAATATATCAAAACTTAATTTTTGATTAGTAATATGCATTGCTAAGGACTTCTGGTTTTGTGGTCCAGGGTCACATATGGTTCAGTCCCTCCTTCATTGTACATCTATGGGAGGTTTTACCCGTTTTATTGCTGCAAAAATTGTCCAGTCAAGTAGAAAAGTAAACACAGCTCTCCTTAACAGGCCACATAATTTGTTCTAAGGTTTGTTTAAATCCCTAACCCTAAGTATGATAATAAAGTGATGTTTGTCCTAGTACGCACCACTAATAAAGAAATCTAGGGAGTGTGAGACAGAGGGTGAACTGAGAGGAAGAGGTAATAGATATTTTTAGGAGGGGGTTTGCCTGAATGAGAGTGAGGACAGATTTATAGAGGACTGTAAAATGAAGCTCTTCTCAGGGTTTAATCCATGACGCCCATTTAAGACTTCACCTGCCTATATTTGTTTCCCTATAGATTGTGTGTGTGAGACTGTTGCAGTGTGTGTACTTGCGTACAATCAGGTAATAAAGGAAAACATGCACAGTTTGTTCATATTTACTGTTAGTTAGATATGTCCTTGCAGTGTATGTTTCTTTTGGTGTATTATTAAATGTAATTTGTTGTCAAACATAATTTTATGGCCTTGAAGAGCAAAGTAGGAAGGGAACATTATTAATAATTGTCAGTCTAAACAAAAGTGAGCTGCTTTGTGAATCGCTTCATAAAGACCTTGTTAGCAATGTGTTCAGAAAATTGTCATTTTCAGTGTTGATTCCTTGCCAGTTTTTTTTACTTAATATTAATCAAACAAGACACAAAAGGCGATTTAAAAAAAAAAAAATTTTTTTTTAATGGTAAATATTTTTTTTATTTGCAATGAGATTCTAAATCTGAATCCCATGAAACATGTTAAAGATAGTTCTGGGTCATATTTCACCACCAAAAAAAAAAATCATATTTTGATCTTTATAGATAGCAACTTTGCAGAAAATCTGTCTATTTTTTACAATCATTAGTATTTTCTGTACATTTAGGTTTTTTTTTCTTGCTCATTTAAGCACTTTCCCTCCAAAATTCTCTTTAGTAAAATGTAATTTTCTATTACAGTCATGAGTCTAATAAAAAGAATTACTAGAAAATAAGAATTACTAAAAAAAAAAAATATTTGGGGTCAAGAATCATATTTTGATCTTTATAGATAGCAACTTTGCAGAAAATCTGTCTATTTTTTACAATCATTAGTATTTTCTGTACTTTTAGGGGTTTTTTTCTTGCTCATTTAAGCACTTTCCCTCCAAAATTCTCTTTAGTAAAATGTAATTTTCTATTACAGTCATGAGTCTAATAAAAAGAATTACTAGAAAATAAGAATTACTAAAAAAAAAAAATATTTGGGGTCAATAGGATTTTACTTATATATATTAAATAGTACTTTTATTCAGCAAAGATGCATTAAATTGATCAAAAGTGACAGAAAAGTAACACTTAAAAAAAAATGTTGAATTAAAAAATATATATATATTATAAATTCTAAAATATATTCAAAAAGAAGAGAGCTGTTTTAAATAAAATAATGTTCCACAATATTAATACTTGAAATTAATTTTCACAAATAATTATGATGCTATGATGTCAAATTCAAAATGAAGTGGTCTTTGGGCACTAGCTTTGTAGGGTGTACCAACCAATTGTAAAAAAAAAAAATTGAAGTATGCTCACTCATTTTTTAGAGTTAGATTTTACCAGGATGGATTTAAATTTTTTTTATCATATGCTAATTTAAAAAATCTTTTATAATTTTAACTGCTGTAGTTTTGTTTACTTGGTTTGTATTTTCTGTTTACGTAACTCTTGTATTTTTTCCAACTCCGATTTTGCCATGAAGATAGCCTTAGATGCTGTCATGGCAATAAAAATATAGAACTACTACGTATGAGATTGTAATAGATAGATTTAAGATGAATTAACCTACAGGATTAATTAGTAAGTAATTGTGAATTTCAAAGGTAATTAACTAGTCACAATTTTATGAAGTGGTAGTGTGTCTCAATATCTTAGTACACACTCAAAAGTACATGCTTGCCCTTCACCAACAAAGTGCTGAACACAGAACAAGAATCGGGACACTCTCTGGAATCTTCCATTAGAGTCCATTGGTTCAGAGTTCTTCCACAAACCACTAAAAACCAGCCAATGCTGTTTACCAGCTATGAATAGATGAATCAACATGATGCACTAACACATGAACCGCTTTTCCTGACACTTCCCTCTTTGACGCACACAGATGTTGATGATGGATGATATCTGTAGCTCATCTGACCTGGTACCGGTGTGATTGTCTAGCTCACATATAATCAATTTCAGTTTTAAATCTCACGTGTTTTCAGAAGAACAATTTAATTGCTCAACTGATGTGACAAGAAGATGAAAAAAATGAAAGGATCGGGAGTGAAGAAGTGATTTGAGGGGAGACAGGAAGTGCACACTCATGAACTGTGGCTTCTCTGCTCACATTGCCCTCTCTGTCCCCAAAGAGGAATGCAAAGCTTTCATTTATTTTTATGATATTTCAACAAACAAATAATAAAAATAAATCAATGTAAACCCCAAACGTCTACACGTATATTTAGGGGCCCTTCATTCATCCAGTGGTCACCAATCTCACCAGGTCAATATTTGGCAAGCTAATTTTGAGAATTTGTCCTCTCTGTTGTGAAAGAGAATGTGTTTGGGAAATGTGTGAATGTAGACCTCTTTACCATTACCCTGTTGAACTAGCTCTCACCCAGCCTTTACCATTGAGCATTTACCACTTGAACATTTCACTGCCAAATTCTAAATTGTCATAATACATACTTTTAAGGTTTTGTTTTTAAAAAGGCTTCATTTTCTTAAGGCAAAATTTTATTTGAATCCTATGTATTTTTTTTTTTAAACAGCAGTGGACTTTATACTGGCACCGATCAATGTGGATACAGCATCATCCAATGTAAATGTTTCTGGTTACCAGTGCCACTGTAGAAACACCTTGATCTCAGGCACAACTATGATTAATTTATTCTGCAGCTTAAAGTGTCAGATAATAGGGGGTTTACGGAGATAAAGTGATTGGTGTTTGACTGGTCAGGTGATCTTAACATGGTTGCCGCCCTTATGTAGAGTAAAACCGCTTCTTTCAGGGAACTGATATGACTGGAATCATCTTATGTTGCGTCTTACTTTTTTTATGTATATTTTAATGATTAATATTAATTTATTAAAAAAAATTTTTTTTTGTAAATTCAATTTCCTGTATTAGATATGTGACAAGTTTATATATGTGCGTGTGTGTGTGTGAGAGATAGAGAGATCCTTCAGAAATCATTCTATATATAACATTATTATATATATAAAAAACCGTGACCATCCAAAACTAGCGTTCTCAATTCTTTTTCTATTCTACTTGTTTTATTTGTATTAATTATAAAAATAATAATAACTTGACGCTCTAACACTAGCTCTCTCAATTCTATATATCTACTTTTTTTCTTTTCATTTATTATTTAAATAAATAAATCTTGCTACGTATACTGCGTTCGACTAACCGGGACTTGTCACAGCACTTACATAGTGTTGCTCTTTTGTTTGTTTGATTGCTTCTATTGTCCTCATTTGTAAGTCACTTTGGATAAGTCACTTTGCTAAATGACTAAATGCAAATATAATAACACTTTTATCCACCAAGGACCCATTAAATTGATGAAAAGTGATAGTAAAGACATTTATAATGTTACAGAAGATTTCTATTCCAAATCAATGCTGTTCATTTTAATTTTCATGGTTTCCACAAAAATATTATACAGCAAAAAAAATGTTTGCCCTGATAATAAAAATAACTATTATAAATAATTGAGCAGCAAATCAGCATATTAGAATGATTTCGGAAGGATCATGTGACACTGAAAACTCACTGAAAATTCATATTTGCCATCACATACCCATACATACATGCCCAAAAATCTGATATTACAAAAGTAATTTTTTCCATTTAAAACATTTTCCATCTGAAGAAATTAATACTACTACTAAAAGTAATAGTCCAATTAGACAGTTCCTCTGTGGAAACTAATAAGTAATTAAATGTCCTCACTTTCTTTATGGTGTGGTCATTTTCTATTTTCTGTCTACTAGATTGTTCCACAGATGGGTGTGACGCTGGATAGTTTGGGTTTTGACTCGGAGTTGCAGGCACTGTACATGGCCGTGAGCTCGGGGAAAACGGGTCCGAAACGAAAACGCTCTCCTGACAGCAGCCCTACGACAGAAGACAACCACGTCTCTGAACATCACGCACCCAATCACCAACACGTCACTGGTGTCCCCACAGGTTGCTGCTTCACTCACACAGAGCTTAGTACATGAGCTAAAGGAATCATTCCAAACTTGTATGTCTGTGTTTCTTCTGTAGAACACAAAAGGAAATGATTTGCAGAATGTCCTGGCTGCTCTTTTCCACAGAATGAACGGGAGTTGTTACGCTGTAATTTGCCACCTGTATACATGTAAGGTTTGACATTGGTGGTATCAGTTGTTATTGACTGTTGCTGTGAGCCATAACCAAACATTATGGACATCAAATTTCACATGAGGCATATAAAGGCACCACCCATGTGAATGCCTGCGTAGACAGCTTTCTGTCAATTTCTGATTTTCAATGATTCAATTATGATTTGGCGTTTGTATGGATCACTCTTATGGTGCCTTTTTGTCATTTTGGAGCCTTTTGTCTCCTTTTGTGTTCCACAGATGCAGGAAAGTTATGTGAGACCCTGGACCACAAAACCAGTCTTAAGTCGCTGGGGTATACAATAGCCAAAAATACATTGTATGGGTCAGAATTATTGATTTTTCTTTTATGCCAAAAATCATGAGGATACTAAGTAAAGATCATGTTCCATGAAGATATTTTGTAAATTTCCTACTGTAAATACACTGAACAAAATTATAAACGCAACACTTTTTTGTTTTTGCCCCCATTTTTCATGAGCTGAACTCAAAGATCTAAGACTTTTTCTATGTACACAAAAGGCCTATTTCTCTCAAATATTGTTCACAAATCTGTCTAAATCTGTGTTAGTGAGCACTGTATAAGTCTCAAATTTGAAAAATTTACCCTTATGACTGGTTTTGTGGTCCAGGGTCACCTATGAGTTTGGAATAACATGAGCCTGAATGAATTATGACATTTGTCATTTTTGAGCAATGTTTGTCTCGTCTGCTGTGCTGTGCAGATGTGGGTTCCTCTCTGGCTTCTCAAGAACAGAATGCTGTCAGAGGATCATCAGGAAGACCTCAGGTGGCAGACAGCAAACAGGTTTGGTCTTTAGTTTTTCTATTCATTTAACAAAATAAATATTTGATTAATTCTTTCAGATAACTTAGTGCCATGAACCCATTGTTTTGGCTAATCTTTTCAAATCTTCAGTCTACCACGAACCCATCATTGCTGAGCCTTAGGCTGGTAGAGTTTGACCTCTGTGTTTGTTTTTGGAGGTTCAACAAAAGGACAATTTAAACATGCATCTAAACAGGTCTAAACTAAACAGCATCTAAAATGTTACTCACCTTGATATGATTAAGTAATATTCTGGGTTGAATATAAGTTAAGCAAACATGTACAAACATGCAGCTATGATGGAAGTCTACGGGGCAACCATTGTATGCTTACCCTTAGACTTGCAGATATAAATTGTCAAATCATTTTCTGCGGCAATTAACAGAAATGCTAAAGTTTAAATTATAAATGGTTTTGGACCCAGGTTATTCCTTTCAGGGAACTAAAAGCACTTCTGAATGATTCTTTTAGACTGTCCTGTTACCATCAACTGCTGCTGCTGGTTCTGAGGAGCGTTCCACCTCACGGCCAAAGAAGAAGAAAGTAGTGGGGCTTTTTCGGTGACAATTCATGCCTCTGAATCAGAATAGTGCACATATGGACCCTTTAATTTTCTGAATGCTTCAAAGATATTTGTATTCTTTTTAGGTTGGATTTTAAGTGATTATGGACATTTTATTATTGGTTTTTAGTCTGTATGCCCATCTTAATGTTTCTGTGTTTTAAAAGTAATGAATAAAATATTGCATTCCTTAATACAAGTTCTCTGGCAGAGAATAGGTTAGTAATGCATAAGATGTGTTTTGTGAGTTGCACATTCAAATCTGAGTGTCTACTTTTACATAATTGTTTTTTCAGTCTGTTGGGGGCATAACATTGTGTTTTACAGGATACTGACTGCTACAGCTAGAAGGCAAGACAAGAAGGTCACTGAATTTGACAAATTTGTAAGGTTTGTGGCATTAGATATCCAGAGTTTAGTTTGAGGCCCTTACTAGCAAGTAAATGTGATGTGCTTGAGCACAAATGTATGTTCCGCTTCATTTTCCTGGTCATGTTCCGTAAAATCTTCGGACTTTTGAAAGGACGGAAATTCTGACCACAAACCCAACATCCATATTCTACTAATTTCTTTGGTTTTGGCTCAGCCTTTGTTAGAATAAGCTACTCCTATTGTTGATTTATCCATCACTAAGCATGACCTATTAGCCATATGCCTGCTTCTTATCTAATTCAGGCTAGAATAAGCCATAAAGTGGACCAGACGGCATGCCAATAGGCAACAGTCTGTCTCTGTGAAACTACTCTAAAACCTGCTGAATTAAATATGAAGTGCATGATGCTTTAAATCTAGTAGAAATATAGAAGTCTTTTTACTGTAGTATTTTTGCAGATTATTTTCTGATGCCTGGCCAAAGCACTCTCTAATTAAAATGTATTCAGCAATACCAGTAACATCTTCAAGCTGTCAACAGTGCGGTCACAGCGGACCAGAAAAAATGTCTGCGCCACTGAAGGAGACACAGAACTGTCATAATTTTCCTACCAGTATCATTTGGTAATAGTTCTGGCATTTAACTGGTGATTCGTCTTCAGTGGAGAAGCCATTAGTGTTATTTTAAAGACATTAGAGTTCCTGGGAGGGACGGCACGTCATGCCTTGTCTCCAGTGTCTGTCAGTGAAACTAAACCTGACCACCAATCACAATTATTTTTTATTTTTTTTATAAAGCTAAAACATGTTTTATCTTGCAGTATTAAACAGTTGAATACTATTGCTGAATCCAATTTTTATTTAAAAATATGTTTGGGGTAAAATGGTTTCAGAAATAGTGGGACAAGTTTCATGTTTGATCATCTTTTAAATAACATGAAGTAAATAAGCAGTTAACAGTCAGCTGAATTGGCACAATGACCTTTGTCATCCAGAAAAGTGGGACTTCTTCTAAAAATTGTTCTGATGGATTTTGATCATCAATCATCACCCTTTTATGAGCTAACATAAAATAAAATAAAACATGTCATCCAATACTGGAGTCTGGCTATTTCCTGACAGCCACATTGTAGTGGTTGGTTTTACGTGACTTCTAGCTACACCAAGCTGGTCATTTATGGTCAGCAGCTGGTCAAAGCTGATTTAGATGATGGATCAGCTAGACTACAAGCTTGTGTGGCCACAGATGACCTGGTAGACCTTCCTCAAGACCACTTTGCACCAGTAACAAACCATCTACCAAGTTCCAAACTTCACCACTTCAATCTTTATATATATATATATATATATATATATATATATATATATATATATATATACACGAGTCAATAATTTGACAAAATTCTATTTTATAAATGGCATAAAATTGTTAAATATTCTTGTATTATTTCAACTGCAGCAAAAATATTTTTCCAAATACTATAAACCACTGTCCCACTAATGCTCGTGGTCTGTTGGTCTGTCCCACTTTGTCTAAAAAAAGTATTCCATCACAAATATAAAATTAATTCATTAGAAAATAAATAATTCAAGTCAATTGACTTTCAAAGGTAAAAGTGGAAAATTAAAATGTGGAAATAAACTGAATAACTAATATTATAATTGCATTATTTGTGAAATTAACATTTTAGTGGATTAATAATGAGCATAAATAAAAAAAATATATAAAGTTTATTTTAAATATTCGAAAAACGTTATCTTTGAATAATAAAAACTTTGAATTAGAACAAACATAATTTGTCTTGTAATTATTCATAGTAAAGACTCCGTGTCTCCAAATGATAGTTGTGTGTGTGTATGTGTGTGTGTGTGTGTGTGTGTGTGTGTGTGTGTAAGGTCCTGTACGTGTGCTGACGTACCGTTGACCGGCAGAGCATTGCTGCTGAGGTTGAAATGACTGGACACATCAGGGTCCGAGAGTCCAGACCTGTAATGCGCATCCTGTTTGTCTCGCGTCTTGGCAGCCGCCGGTTGCGGTACAGGGGGAGAGCGGCAGGGCTGATAAAGCGCGTCTGCCAGGAGGGGTGGAGAGGAGGGCAGAGACAGACAGAGGGCAGGACTGGCAGGGTGCGGCTGCTTCAGTAGCATCTGAGCTCGGGTCACTTCCATTTCCATCTCAACTGAGAGCCGCGCGCCACAGCGCAGTAGTCAAACAGCCGAGCCGGGAGCCAGAAACCGCTGCGGGACGCGCACTCTGACCGCGGCTCTGCGCAACCAGGACCCGCCTGCAGGCGACTCTAAACACGCGTGCCAAGATAAACGGAACTTCTCTATTTATTCCCCCTGTCTATATATATATACACACACGAGTCAATAATTTGACAAAATTCTATTTTATAAATGGCATAAAATTGTTAAATATTCTTGTAGTATTTCAACTGCAGCAAAAATATTTTTCCAAATACTATAAACCACTGTCCCACTAATGCTCGTGGTCTGTCCCACTTTGTCTAAAAAAAGTATTCCATCACAAATATAAAATTAATTCATTAGAAAATAAATAATTCAAGTCAATTGACTTTCAAAGGTAAAAGTGGAAAATTAAAATGTGGAAATAAACTGAATAACTAATATTATAATTGCATTATTTGTGAAATTAACATTTTAGTGGATTAATAATGAGCATAAATAAAAAAAATATATAAAGTTTATTTTAAATATTCGAAAAACGTTATCTTTGAATAATAAAAACTTTGAATTAGAACAAACATAATTTGTCTTGTAATTATTCATAGTAAAGACTCCGTGTCTCCAAATGATAGTTGTGTGTGTGTATGTGTGTGTGTGTGTGTGTGTGTGTGTGTGTGTAAGGTCCTGTACGTGTGCTGACGTACCGTTGACCGGCAGAGCATTGCTGCTGAGGTTGAAATGACTGGACACATCAGGGTCCGAGAGTCCAGACCTGTAATGCGCATCCTGTTTGTCTCGCGTCTTGGCAGCCGCCGGTTGCGGTACAGGGGGAGAGCGGCAGGGCTGATAAAGCGCGTCTGCCAGGAGGGGTGGAGAGGAGGGCAGAGACAGACAGAGGGCAGGACTGGCAGGGTGCGGCTGCTTCAGTAGCATCTGAGCTCGGGTCACTTCCATTTCCATCTCAACTGAGAGCCGCGCGCCACAGCGCAGTAGTCAAACAGCCGAGCCGGGAGCCAGAAACCGCTGCGGGACGCGCACTCTGACCGCGGCTCTGCGCAACCAGGACCCGCCTGCAGGCGACTCTAAACACGCGTGCCAAGATAAACGGAACTTCTCTATTTATTCCCCCTGTCTCCGCTCGGACTGAGAGAAAGCAAGTTTTACAGACCTGAGAGGAGAACCGACGAGCTGGCACCAACCTCACCGCTTGAGGAACCCTACGTTTGCCGGGGGGTCTTTCCGTGCGTAAAAGGATGGTGATCGCCAGGTGTCCTAATAGACTGGTCCTCCTCCCCCTCCGGTGATCTTGCGCGGGGACTGAAGCTGAGATTGGGGGGAGGAGGGTCGCTTTACCATCATCTTCACCATCTTTGACACTCCATCTTTTGGAGTGCCCGCTGGCACCGGTTGGCATGAGACTCTCCACAGCGGCGGCGCTCCTCACCGGGTTCATCTTGGTTTTCTCGCCGGCGTACGACAGCTGTGGACCGGGCAGAGGTCACGGCAAGAGACGGACTCCAAGGAAACTCACGCCTCTCGCCTATAAGCAGTTCAGTCCAAACGTTGCCGAAAAAACGCTGGGAGCCAGTGGGAGATATGAGGGGAAGGTAACGCGCAACTCCGAGCGCTTTAAAGAGCTCACGCCCAACTACAACCCAGACATCATCTTCAAGGATGAGGAGAACACAGGTGCGGACCGCATGATGACGCAGGTGAGGCAGACACACGCGGAAATGTTTCCTCAGAGCAGTTAGGTCGGCTAATTGTTCATTAATTACTTTATTAGTAGAGATTTCTATCCAAATGTACAACACCTAAAAGATGCATCTTTGTACATTATTTACCCCTAAATAGTAGGCCTATATATTAGTGCTTTAAAGGGACATATTAGTACCTAAAGTGTACATATTAGTATTACCGCCCCAGTGAGAGTTGTGTACCTTTCTGAAAGTGTAATATGTGATTAGTTCACCCAAAAAGGACAATTCTTTACTCATCCTATGTCGTTCCTAACCTGTGGCTTTCCTCCTCCTGTGGAACATAAAAGAAGATATTTTGAGAAATGCCTCTAAATGGTTTTGTGTCCATTCAATGGAAGTCAATACTAACCAAAACTGTTTGGTTACAACCGGTTTTCAGAGCATCTTCATTTGTGTTCCCCAGAAAAAAGAAAGTCATACAAGTTTGGTCAATCAGGTTTGAACCTGCAACCTGACTACACCACCCTCTGCTTCATGCAGTGGAGTACTATTACTACTCCTACTATTAATTTTATAATAAAGTTGCCTTTTTCAAGATCAAGTGCATTAGTTCAGGGTACTGTCGCTTAGGCTAAAAATGGTAGTGGGCATCATTAAATGTAGGTATCCTTGAGATAATTCAGAAAATATGGTGAAGAAGGTCTGTAAATTATTAGTTAAAAATGTAATCCAAACTGACTTCACTCATAACATCTGGGTCAGCATGTGGAGAATGGTTTTTATCAGTGGCAGAATGGTGATGATAGTTCATGGATGAGTGAGGTTTGAACCTACAACCCTAAGTTTCCGACCCAGATCTTCAACATAGACAGTCATTAGTGCAATATCTCAAGGATTTTGTTTGGAAAGTACTTGAGATAATTCTGAAAATATGGTCAAGAAAATATGCAAATTTATAATTCATTGTATAGTTGAGACTTTCATCCAAAGTGACTTCACTTATAACAGAGAAAGACCATCTGGAATTAACATGTGGTTTAGTGTCAGTAGTATGTTGAGTTTATGGCTCAATCACTGTGGGGTTCGAAACTACAACCCTTAAGTTACCTTCCCAGACTTTTGCAGACAACATTGCATTACTTGTGTAGTCACCTATCAATGTGGACCCTTTGTTCAGGTCTACTACATAGATGAAAAATGGTGGTGGATGCTGATGTAGGCTATGTGAGCAAAGAGATCACGGTTTATTTTCACCGAAAAGTGAAAATCCTTGGGTTCATTCAAGGTTTCAAGTCTTTCAGTCTTCATAACAGAGAATATGGGGCAGGTTTCATCAAATTAAAGACACCGTAGGCATCAGGTTATTTTATAACCGCATATTTGAACTTTCTCCCACAGGGCTCTAGCTCAATTTATGTGAATGAATGAACGCAAAAGGGGTGACTGTCAATAAAGTGGGAAGGAAGGGAAAGCTGAAACGTTGAATTAAAACAGTGCCGTTGCTGTTTTAAGCGCGATTGGAAAAGAAAACATTAAAACTGCCCTTGTAGGTTGAGCATGACCTGTGACTGTTTTAATGTTTGCCCGCTTAAACACGACAGCTCGTGATTAACGGCATACACCCCCTTTTCGAATCGTCAGATATTTTTTACGACGTTGATGTGGTACAGAGTGGAATTTATTTGACTTCAATCTCCCCCTCACCTAAGAGTATTTATATCAGCTCTTTTCCTCTGAATGCCCACATGTTAATATCCAGGAGAGCCATGTGGGAACTGAGGAGGGGCTCGTAGATTTCACCCTGTCTTTACCTGTCACCTCTCCGGCGAGCGCGGCGCTCGTTTACCTGACCTTCGCGCGATTTATGAGGGCCAAACTGCGGCGACTGCTGGAGACAACCTCTGGTCTGTTTTTCCTTTTTATTCCGTGTTATTTTTTTGTTTGTTTTTGTGGCATACGTGTGTAAAAATAGTGGGCTTCACATGCATTTAAGCCTTAATTACACACACATTTTTCTCCACCTTATTTTTGATTCAGCGTCGAGTGGCCCCGGCGCTCTCATACAGGCGCGAGTGTTCAGGGCCCCGCGCCATCGGTGCGCGCAGGGTGAATGTTTGTGTAGCCTGCGGTTAGTGTGAAGGCGCTCCTCCTGAAAACCCGTCGATCTCCGCTTTGAAAGCAAAACGGGTTTCACGGGC